GGCTCACCAATGAGAAAACAAGGAAAGGTGAAATCAGAGCCTTCCTTTCCTACAGTTACAGCCAACATGACACTCGGCGTGACAGAAACTGAGTCGGCGGTAAGACATTTATCGGCTTGCTAGACGGTACTTTGGTTATTTTCATGCTTATGTTAGGTATCTAAAACACAGCATAACCTACCATAAGATATCAAAAGTCATCTAGGATATCATGTTCCAAAATACTGTGTGCCAGTCGGAAAAATAACCAATGTAATAAAACATTATGGCGGAGCTTAAGGTGTGTCTTGCCTCACGAGGCAGGTTTTAGGTGTTGCGAGACCATAATTGCCATTGTAAAAGAAGGCACAGGTGAGTTCACAAGGTCTGCTAATTGATCAGATGGTTCCTCCTTCTGCAAACTAGTTAGTTAACCTTTCACACACCAGGATATGTTTTTTTTTTCCTGTCATAAACATATCAAGATAATGTGTCAAAACTTTGCTAAACTTATGCTAATTTCATTTTCACCCACGCAGATACTGTAAACAGACGTGCACTGACAAACAGAAGGAAAATCAAAATATCATATATGGCAGTTAAAAGAAGAGAGTGAAATGAAATTCCCATGAAATCAGATTTTTAAAAATTGTTTTTACACATATATATTTTTTTTCAATATATTTTTTTCAATATATATATATATATATATATATATATATATATATATATATATATATATGTATGTATATATATATATATATATATATATATATATATATATATATATATGTATGTATATATATATATATATATATATATATATATATATATATATATATGTATGTATATATATATATATATATATATATATATATATATATATATATATATATATATATATGTATGTATATATATATATATATATATATATATATATATATATATATATATATGTATGTATATATATATATATATATATATATATATATATATATATATATATATGTATGTATGTATGTATATATATATATATATATATATATATATATATATATATATATATATATATATGTATGTATATATATATATATATATATATATATATATATATATATATATATATATATATGTATGTATATATATATATATATATATATATATATATATATATATATATATATCTATATATATATATTAGCATATTTAACTTTATAGATGTGGTACTTCATTTAGGAAGTACCACATTGTTTTTGTTTTTTTAGAGCTTGGATAGTCACCCTCCTTGGAACCACCCAGCTAGTAAATTGCTCGAGTTGAGTCAAGCAAACATGTAATTTCTCGCTAAATAAGCTGAAACAATGGAAATGAGTGTAACATTACAGCACTGATGTGGAAAACTGTTAGGCATGCATTCTAAAAGCATTTCCTTCATCCACTTTAGTTTAATTTGCACAATAGTTTTGCTTCTAATCTACAGATGAGAACCTATCCAAAGAGAATGGAAAACAAAATGAACCAACGTCGTTTTTCAAATTCCACAGCAAATATTGAAACCACATTATTACGCATCCTTTCGAGTTAAGAACTGGACAAGCAGTAAAAAGTTTAAACACAAACAGGTCTGCCAAGAATAGCACTGACCTCAGCAAATATGTGGAGGGAATGAAGGTAATGCTGAACATATTCCCTGCAGTCCCTTTTAGATATTCCAACGAACTGGAAGTAGCATGATATCTAGCGATAACATGAAATCCTGGTAGCATATTATGCATCTCATCTGGAATTTTGATATAATGAACATGTACCGTTATTACTTATGCAAAACAGGGTGTCAAACTCAAAACCCCCAGCAGGCCAATTTTTACTTCAGTTACTGTCTTGAGGGCTACAAAGGCACATACCTGGCTTCCTAGGACTATGGTATAAGGTGTCTGATACTACATAGAGTTTATTTTATTAAAAATTATAAGGCATCATGAGGGCCACATTTAACATTTATTCATTTGGGAATAATTTTATTCACATGTGCACAATTTCCAATACGTATATTGAAAATTGATATGTAAATAAAATGGCATCATTATGATCCCTTTGAGTCTTAATGAAAGACAGCCTTTTTGGGTTTCTTCATCATCATCATTCTCAAGTGTCAGTTGATCGAGTATTGATTATGTATTAACCAGTGATCGAGTATCCTCAGCTAATGATAAATATTCACTATAGGTGATGGATTATCAGTTTTCTAGCTTTTCTATTTGATACATATTCCTACAGCAACCTTTCAAATTGTTAATATGCGCAAGGCAAAGGTCCAAAGGCACATAATTGAAGCGTTTTTCTGTCTCTTTTGGTACAAACTACTTTCTAAGAATCAGTGATAAACCTATCATGTCTGCCTTCGATACACCAAGACGGAACTGAGTACTTAAGGTTTAACCTTGGATGGACCGACTGTATGCATACATGGAGCATCTACTCCTTGCGTTAGGGTGATTTACTTCCGCAACTGAAGATGAATGCGGCCACTTTCTCAAAGGTGAGAGGACCTAGCACAATTAATGAAGGTACATCCATGTATTAGTCACCATCTCAGATGGGGAATGAATTTATAACTATCTTCAGGCTTCAGCAATAGAGACAATTACAGCTAATGATCTCATAATGGTACGTAAATTTGTTTGACTCCATTTGTCTAATTATTTTGTACGTTCATAGTCATTTATGTAAGCTTGAGTGTAAAAATGAAATCTTATGCCATATTTCCATAGTAGATAGCCTTCCTCGATGAGATAATTATTCTTCTGGGTGACTTCAACTCAAGCGTGTGCGTGTGCTTGTACATGTGTGTGTGTGTGTGTGTGTGTGTGTGTGTGTGTGTGTGTGTGTGTGTGTGTGTGTGTGTGTGTGTGTGTGTCTGTCTGTAAACTCATGTATATGCATACATACATATATTTTTATACATAGACTCAAATAATGTGTGTGTGCATCGACGTAGGGGCATTTAAAATTTAGGGGGGGGGGGTGCAAATTTTCTGCCCGAGTGAAAGAGGAAGAGAAATTTCACCTGCCAGAAAATTTGTGATGAATGCCACCAGTGACGTAGATAGAGGGGGTCGGGGGGGAGGGGGCGAAAAAAACAACCTATAAGGCTAAACTGCCATTTTGTCGGAAAATTTCTGCACTTGACGGAAAAATAACGATGGTTTTCTGTTTCGTTTAGTTCTAGTGGCCTTATGTTATGTTTAAAAAAAATCAAACTTTTGTCGGGATATCTTCATTTCTCGCCCCCTCTATGATTTTTCCTATCTACGCCCCTGCCCAAAATTGCCCGAATTCAACCAGCATTTACCCGACTGGGGGGGCTGCAGCCCCCCCAGCCCCCTGGTTCCTACGCCTATGTGTGAGTGTGGGTGTGTGTGTGTGTGTGTCCGTGTGTTAGTGTGTGTGTGTGTGTGCGTGTGTGTGTGTGTGTGTGTGTGCGTGTGTGTGTGTGTGTGTGTGTGTGTGTGTGTTTGTGTTTGTGTGTGTGTGTATGCAAATACATACAGTCGTAAAAATGTCTGCGCTCTGATTGCTGGCCGAACCCAAACTCATAACGGGGAAACGACATATCGCCTTGAGAAGTCAAATGCAGGAGAATAGTGAATGAGAGAGGCCTGTGTCCCGCAGTGGAATAAATGGTTGTCGGAAATATATATATATATATAAACAGATAGATAGAGAGATGGATATATATATGTGTGTGTGGGGGGGGGTGTACATAGATGCATGAGTGAGTGTATGTGTGAATGTGTATGTGTGTGTGTGTGTGTGTGTGTGTGTGTGTGTGTGTGTGTAAGAGCAACGAGAAATGATAGCGAATATTACATGGTAAGCGTTTAGCGCACTGAGACAGCTACCGTAAGTACAATTTTGTTATTGTGTTTGTTTAATGAACAACAACTAAGATCACACCAGGAAAATAAAGGTAGGGAAAGCAGCAGTTAGAACTGAGGCTCTTGAAACCAAGACTGGTAGCAGTAGAAAACATAACTAAACGGTGGATAATGTACTTTCAGAGAGAAAATACTAAAAAGTCTGATAAGAAAATTAAAGAACTCAAGAAAATGGCGGAAGAAACAGAACCAAGATTAGCAACGGTAGTCAGATCGAAAAAAAGAATCTGTAAGAAAAAGTCGATATACAGGATTTTTTAAAGCAGATTGAGAGCAATTTATCAAGTAGCCAATGTCATTGAATGGAAAAGACGAAAAAAAATGACAGCTACAATATCGATGTATATAAAGTAAATAAAAAAAAAAATCAAGATCACACAGGAAGAAATCAAGACATAGGTCGCAGAGACGGCAAAGAAAAAATATTTTGTCACACCTTGGCCCACATGCAAGGAATATTACTAATTTGAGTTATGTAAACCAGTACATATTAGGATTAGGGCATAAAGAAAAGGTCTTAGAAAATGGAATCAAACAATACACCTCCCCCCCCCCCGAAGAATATAAGGAAATCTGTATAAGAGAAGTTAAGACTACTGCACAAATAGGGAGAGTTACAGAACAAAAATGAACAAATGATTGGGGAAGAAAAAAGTTGTTCATTTGTAGCCTTGCACCAAATGGAATACCGAAAGATTATATAGAAATAGTTAATAAAAATATAGATGATTTGCAAGAACAATATGCAATAGCTGGTATTAATAAGCCAGATGTATTATGCATCACATAATCCAAACTAGATCCTTCTGCTTTTTTACAAACTCATCTTGCTGAATACTGTCAGCGCTCACAGGCTAGTTAACCGAATTTGCGAATTATTTTCCAATTAACTTGCTCCTCTGTCCGAGTTGGAGGAGCAGTTCCGAGCACAGCATATACAGACAGAATTCACTCACCGAATCCATATTCAGGCTCAATTTTACCAACGTGTTCTAGGAGACACTCAAAGAAGTCAGCGTGGATTTCCTTCATGGTAAGGTAGTACTCATTGTCTTCAGACCATCCTGCATAATGGCGCATTCTCTGTGAGAAGAAAAATACACTGCTTATTGTTTTTTATTGGTAGCCACTATCCCAAACCATTCAGTTTTGGTGCCCTAACATGTATCCCTCGAAATTATTACTTCTGTACACAGTAAAAGCATAAAATACAAAAAATAACAATACTTATTCTTATTATTAATAGAAAAATAATAGCAATTCATTAATAGCATAGACCCCCCATTGCCAGGATCAGGTTTAACTGCCGTCAAAATAATAATCTTAACATTAGAATTAGAATAAATATTTTTTTATCGATCATCCCACACCTACACACGCATGTTTTTGTATGTGGGTGTACAATTTTCAAAATTAGTCATGTCCAACCCGATCCGTAGAATTTACTTGTGTGGTTACTTTACTTAATTCGAATATTATTTTTTCTATTATTAGTTGCTATTATTGCAAAAAAATACAATAAGATAAAATAGATAAATACAAACTATTTTAGAAAAAGGAGAGAGTTAATGCATGGAATTTATATTCTGTGCCAACATTCTATAAGTGGTACAGAAATGTTTTTTTCTTTATTTTTCTTACAATGATGGCGATACATACATATAGTGTTAAATAGTATGGTTATAGTCCTTATCCCTCTTTATCTTTTCATATAGAACATGTAGCGAAGACAGCTAAATACACATAGTCAATGTAGACGAGGGCAACGATAGCATGGAAGTAAATCGGTTATAGACTTTATCTATTTATAGGTTCTTTATACGGAGTCCGCACACACAGTGAAGACAAAGACACGTTCCTCTTACCGGAGATCAGTCATGATCCACCACTATGACAATAATGATGATGAGATTTTCAACCTTGCAAGTGAAGGGAATATACATGAATATTAAAAAAAAAAAAAAAAAAAAAAAAAAAAAATATATATATATATATACATATATATATATATATATATATATATATATATATATATTATATAGGCGGATAAGGGGACCTGCAGCCAGCCAACCTTGTCAATTTGGGGCGGCGTCGGTAGGGGTGGCAGAGGTGGCACCCACCCGGAGTGACTTTCCGAGGTTAGACCTCAGGCGGGCTGTCGGGGTGGGCATATTATGGTATTGAGACTGAAGCTTTCATTTGGCTTCATGTCTCTTATTGCTGTGTACGCTCCTACGGATGTATATAAACTTGAGGTGAAAGAGATGTTTTACGCCAAACTTGCATCTGTGACAGACAGTTGTCCTCGGCGAGGTGTTCGTATTGTTCAGGGTGACTTCAATGCGGTATCTGGCTGCGATCGAGCTGGCTACGAGATGTCCTCATGGCTCAGGAGCTGATGCTGGCAGTGAGAATAGCCTCCTTTTCCATGACTTTGCTTGGTCCCAGAAATTGGGGATTTCTGGCTCCTGGTATCAGCGCTCTGACCCGCATCGTTGGACATGGTACAGCGATACAGGTAGTGTGGCCAAGGAGATCGACCACAAACTTGTTAGCACTTGTTGGAGGATCCTCCAGAACTGCAGGGTGTATCGAAGTGCCGAGTTCTGTGGAACCGATCATAGATTAGTTGTGGCCACTCTCGGATTGAGAGAGGATGAGTGTGCCCGAGGCTATCTCTGGTCGTTTCACAGCACTTGAGGGCCTGACAGACCCTGTCCTTCTGTGGGATACCTTCAAGCGTGAAACGCTTGACGCAGCCTATGAATCGGTTGGTGAACGCCCAAGAGCAAGACAGAATTCCATCTCGCAGGAGACACTGGAAGCCACAGATGCTTGTCGTGCGGCTCGATTGTCAGGGGATCGCAACTTGCATCGTTCTCTGGCACGTAGGACGAGGACACTGTTGAGAAAGGATAAGGATCAGTTTATTAGGAATCTTGCAGAGGAGGTCAAAAGCCATTTCTTAGTAAATGACCTTCGCCCTGCCTACCAAGCCCTGAGAAAGCTGAACTCCAAGCCCTCCTCATAGACGACTGCAGTTCGCTCAGCAAATGGCCAGATAATCTCAGATCCTGATGGGTTGCGTGTGCGTTGGGCTGAGTATTTTGAGCAGTTGTATCAGGTTGATCCACCAACAGTTAACATGGACGCGGGAAATGCCGAGATTCCTCTGCCTGACCCACCCATCAGCGAGGATCCACCCTCCCTGACTGAAGTCAGAGGGGCGATCTCCAAGCTGAAGAGTGGAAAAGCAGCAGGTGTTTGTGACATCCCAGCTGAATTGTTAAAGGCTGATGGAGAACCTATGGCAAGGGGCTTGCATGCAGTCCTGTCTGCCATCTGGCAGACCGGTACCATTCCCCCTGACCTGCTGAGGGGTGTGGTCATCCCTCTCTGGAAGAAGAAAGGGGATTCGTGGGACTGCAGCAATCTCCGAGGCATTACACTGCTCAGTATACCAGGCAAGGCACTTGCACACATCTTACTGAGACGTATCAGAGACCACCTGCTGAGTCACCAAAGGCCAGAGCAATCGGGATTCACTCCTGGTAAGTCAACAATAAACCGCATCCTGGCACTTCGAGTCACTGTAGAGCGCCGTCGTGAGTTCGGTCGTGGGCTGCTTGCAGCCTACATTGACCTTAAGATACAGTGCATAGCGAATCACTCTGGGAGATCCTGAGGCTAAGAGGAATTCCAACAAGGATTGTTGGATTAATAGCAAACCTGTATACAGGCACTGAAAGTACTGTAAAGTGTGGTGGGATGGAACCGGGCTCCCCTCATGGGCATAGCCCAGGCGAGGCTCTGCTTTGCAAACACTTTTCAATACTTGCATGGATTGGAGACTGGGTAGAGCTATTATCTGTGGAGCAACTCTGGGCAATATCAAGGTTACTGACCTTGACTTTGCTGATGATTTTGCCATTCTATCTGAATCTCTGGAAACCCTAGTGGCGGCTCTTGATGCATTTAGCAATTAAGCGAAGCCCCTGGGGCTAGAGGTCTCCTTGACCAAGACCAAGATCCAGGATTTTGGAGGCCTACTAAGAGACCCTGTGCAGTCGGTATGTGCTTGCAGTGAAAACATCGAAGTTACCAAGAGCTTTATATACCTCGGTATTGCAGTTCACGACTCTTGGCTGTCAGACCAGGAAGTCAGTAGACGGATTGGACTGGCAGCAGGGGTCATGAAATCTCCCGACAAGAGCATTTGGAGATGCCAGTATCTGTGCAGAAGGACCAAGTTACATGTTTTCAAGGCCCTGATACTGCCAGTTTTACTATATGGTAGTGAAACCTGGACGCTATCTTGTGCCTTGGAATCTCGTCTTGATGCCTTTTGTAACAAATCCTTGCGCCGGATCATGGGGTACAGTTGGCAGAACCATGTGTCCAACCAACGGTTACACCGTGAGACCGGCACAGGACCTGTTACTTGCACAATCTGTGATCGCCAACTCAGGCTATACGGCCACTTGGCTCGACTCCTGCAGGGACAACCCCGGGTGAAGGAGGCCTGTGGGACGACCAAGAAGGTCGAGGCTTGGGCAGATCGAGCAAACCTGTCGTGAGGAACTAGAGATGGGCCTGGCCCCTGCCTGGCGGCTCGCCATGAGAGACCCTCGCAGGTGGAAGCGAAGGGTGGATGCGGCTATATATATATAAATGTATACATATATATTTATATATATATTCATGTGTGTGTGTATATATATATATATATATATATATAATGTACTGAACATCTCCCCCATATCTATGTGTATATATATATATATAATGTACTGAACATCTCCCCCATATCTATGTGTGTGTATATATGTATATATATGTGTATATATATGTGTGTTTATATATGTGTGTATATATATATACACATATATATACGCCCCGTGTTACCGTGTGCCTCTCCTAACTAACCTTCACTTCGCTGTTCACTTCCTCAGCTACATCCCATATTTATGACAAAATCAACAGCAGTAAATCTCGTGTAGCAACAGGTCAGCTTTTCATGGTAATATTAAATTTCTTATAGATTTCATTGTTACAAATTGTTAATATAGATTTACTAATACTTTCTTTGTAAAATATTTTCGCCTCCACTGATAAACAAGACTATAGGTATGTGAAACTACCGTATAAAATTACTAACACTTTCCTTTGTAAGGTATTCTGGAATCAATACACTGCTTCTATTGTTAAAAAAGACAATGTATATGTGAAACTACCTTATTTGCGTAGTTTAAGCTTTGAAAGTATTAAATAACTAAAATCAATGTTAAAGATAATTACCAACAAATTAGATTTACTTTTTGTCATCACCAGCACTTTCTAATTCTGACAAGTATTTAAACATAGTCCACCTATCCAATGGAACAACTAACTGGTTTCCCATCAAGAGAGGTGTCCGGCAAGGTTGTGTGATGTCAAATGACCTCTTCACTTTATACTCTAAAGTTATCATGCAGGATATTAAAGAATCGTTATCAATGGTTACAAGATCAACAATCATCGTTATGTTGATAAGGAAGCCATTGAACACCTTTACCTCCATACCAACAGCAAGAAAATAAAACGCATGGTAATTTCGGAGTCAGATATCCCACCAACTTGGTCATTGAAAGAAGATGTAGAAATCTAGCAGGACTCCTGCTTCAATTATTTAGGAGCTTTTGTCACCTCAGATGCTGGTTGCAAGAAGGAAACCAGATGCAGAATCGGACTAGCAAAAGATGCATTCTGCAAACTCCGGAACATCCTAACAGACCATCATCATCATTATAATGGGGCATATGCATGGCTGCTCTTTGCAGCGCCTAACCTTTGCCTCCATCTCCTGAGGTCCTCTGAGCAAGCCTCAATGCAGCATTCCTTCCCCCTCCCAGTACATCTTGGCAGATCTGATCGACTTGCTTCAGCCATGAGTTCCATGGCCTTCGCCTTGGTCTTCTCCATCCTGGGTCAACCCTCTCGGAGATGACCCTATGAGCCAGATCTTCCTCAGGGAAACGAGCTACATGCCCATAGAGCTGAAATTGGTGCTCTCGTATCAGACTCGTAATTGGTCTTGAATCAGT